ATAGCACAAACAATAATAAATTTTCACAATATACAATAACACCTACATGTAACAGTAGGCTCTCAACCCTCCAGTGAAACTAAAACTGTATTTTATTTTTTTACTTCTTAGAGACTGGGTCTTGCTATGTTGCCCAGGCTGGACTCCTGGGACCAAGTGATCACCCCACCTCGAATTTCCAAGTAGCTGGGATTACAGGCAAGCACCACCATGTCTAGTTAAACTGTATTTTTAAAAAACCTCACATCAAAAGCAAAATCCTTAAAAACAACAACAACAAAAAAACCAGTTCAAAACAAAAACCTTTAAACTTCAAAATACAGTATAAAAAATTAAAAGACAAGCCACAGACTGAAAAAAATATATTTAGAAATCATATACTAATAAAGGACTTGAATCCAAATACATGAAGAATTCCTACAATTCAATAAAAGCCAAATAACCCAATTAAAAAATTAGTAAAAGATTTAAATAGACATTTCACAAAAGAAGGTACATAAATGGCTAATGAGCATATGAAAAGATGTTCAAAATTACTGTTCATTAGGGAAATACAAATCCAATCTATGAGATATGACTTCATATCTAAAGTGTCAGTGAATATGTCTACAAACCAGAACCTTCACACATCACTGGTGGGAATGTCAAAGGGTGCAACCTTGAAAAACAGTTTGGCAATTCTTCAGAAAGTAACATAAGTTACCATATGGCCCAGCAATTTCACTCCTAGTTATATACTCCAGAGAAATGAAAACATACATCCACATAAAAACATGAACATTAAGGGGGGAGGAGCGAAGATGGCGGATGAGAAAAGCTGCCAGTCAGAGTGTCTCTGCAAAAAAGACGAATTTTAGAAGAAAAAAATAAGCTAGCAGAGAAACATAGATCGGGTGAAGGTCGGAAGGAAAGGTGCCTGAAACTACAGGAGACTCCACGGGAAGACTTTGCGGAGGAGAACTGGAAGGAGAAAGGTCCCGAGAGGCTTGGAGACCAGCGACAAGGGTAGGTGGAGCGGTTAACTTCCCCCTCCCTTACATCTCGGACTGCTGGTGGCTCCTGAGCGGTTGGAGAGACCTGCCGACACCAGCCCAGAGACGGCTGCCGCCAATGAACAGTGGCCTCTTGAGGACTCAGCGCCCTTGGGACACCTCACCGGGTGCAGACCCGAGCCTATCGGCAGATGCCATAGTGCTCCATTCTCTCCTTCCCCCTCGCTACCCGTGCGTGCCCAGAAAGACAATTTAGCCATCACATGGAGGCATCTCCAAGGAACAGGACCTTTCCTTTTGGGGCCCTACAGCAGACTGAGGGGTACTCAGACTGCGAGTTCCCTACCCACCAGCCCGCCCAGGTGCTACTTGCCTGGGGACTCCAGGAGAGTGGGGCAAATCCCCAGGTGGAGTGAAATAGATCCAGCTTGGGCACCCTGTAGGTGATTCAAGACCAGCACCCCTCCCCCTGGCAGGGTCAGGGATTGATCTCCAGGGCCCAGGGGACAGGCCTGCAGACCAGACCCCGTACACCCAGTTCACGATCGCATTGCTCTGGGGCACAGAAGGGAGATCTGTGAAAGAGCCTGCTGAGGAGTGTGTGCCTTCAGGGGCAGATCAGCGTGCCTGAGTGGCAACCCTCCTCCCAAAAGAGGGCTGTGCACTCAGCTTAGGCTGTGGTCCTGGGTAGGGAACCTCCCGGCCCACGTCACAGCCAGGGGAGATCCATCGGCCTGAGGTCGAACTTGCTGGCAGAGGCCTGGGAGAGGCCATGGAGAGAGGGAGAGTGGAGGGGAGCGAGAACCGCTCCAGAGTGCCGGTCTTGGACAGCCCCAGCCCCCCAAGCCCAGACTTTCAGCTGAGTGGAGCCATTTCAGCCCCTCCTGGCAGCTTTGCACAGAAGCAAAGAGCAGACCTTTGACCCCTGCTAACAGCAGCTGTGGAGCCTGAGGGCAGGTTTACCCAACCCAGCCCCACCCAGACTCACTCCAGGTCCTGCCCCCACTGAGGTGGAGAATAAGGACACACCTGGAAATCCCAGGGCCCCACCCACCACCCGAGGCACAAGAGGGCCTCTCCAGAGGAGTAAGAGCTAGCTACAGGACCCAAAAACAGCACTGCAGCTCGCTCCTCCCTGCAAGTGCCACCT